ACATTTCGGAAACTGTAAGTTGTGTCAATCGCGCCCGGCGCGACCACACTTCAAAGTCAGCGTAGTAAATTATGTCCCTCCCGCGCGGCCCCGTGGTCCAGCAGAGCCAGCCGCATACCTCGAGAGGGTGCGTTCCTTCAGAGGGCGATGGTCGAGGTGTTGGGAAGGTTCAAACGCGCATTTGATCCTTCGTTTCCTCAGGTTAAATACTTGTCTTGGCATTCTCGCGGCCAATGTTCATGGGCAAAGGCGTAGGCAGCCTGAAACAACGGGGGGGGGGGGGAACTACATACCTTGGCTCCTCTGAGGCCCCCATGTCCATTACACATTTTTATTTACACGGTCTATTCCACTCGTGAAATTACAACCAATAGTGTTTAACTATACATACGAAATGCCCCAATCAGAGCGGTGAATCTCAAAAACTTTATTGCTTTTTCCTATCCGATTTTTCTTGCCGCTTCTATATTCTGGCCAATCATAAACTGTGACTCATCTATCTTAGGAGGCGTTATATATCGGTCACTATGTCGATGACTAATAAACAGCGAATGTACTGTAACATAACCTCTGATTTTAACATACTCTTTCAGCTATTTTCGATATTTGACGCATTTAGGAATATTGTTGGGCATAATTTCACTCGTGGAATAGTTCTATTAGATACCACTCGTGCTTTGTAAATTCTCAGATAAATCCCCTCCTCGCTTCGCGAGTCGGGAATTTATCGACAATTTTCAAAGCACTCGTTTCAAAAAAGGATTGTGTACAAATCTTTGTGAACATGAGCCGAGAAAACGTACTCGCTAAATGAGTTTACCCTATTTTTCTTCTCCACAAATGTCATTTACGCTTGCTCAGAACCCTTCTTTGATATCTCTGGTAACAATTGATGCGCCGTTAAGTTTTCTACTCTCAAGATAAATTGTCTAACAAATGAGCAGTGTGAAACTAAATGAGAAATACGAGTAATGTACACCAAAACTGCAAAATCTTACTACGGTTCAAAGAAGAACGAATTTAAAAAATTCAATTCTACCCGTGGTTTTAGAAGATTCTAGGGGTGTGATTGGCCAGCAGGCCGTGGACTGCAATTTGGAATCCACGAGGTATGAAATAGAAGTCATTCGACGACGAAATATACAGTAGGAATACAGACATGTTTAAACGGTAGTAGAGAAAATAGATTCTATTATATGGGAGCAAACATTTTTCGATATTAAACGTTATTAAAACGCTCACCAAAGCAAAAATGAAATCATAAAAGAAGTGTCCTAAACTGTGTGATTTTCTTGATGAAATCACTGAAGGCTATCAAGTTAAGAAATCTTAAAAAAAAATTACTTCCGAGGAAATAAATAAATGCTTCACAAAAGCTCTTTATGATGTAGAGGAATAGACGTCAAATTGCAAGTGAAACATTAAGTCAAAATCGTTCAGTTTTTACTTATTTGGTTTTACTGCTCTGTGCTATATTGAACTTTAGACTGGGTATATACTATGTCAACAACGGCAAAATGACATAGTGGTTACATCCAGACTAGTGTTCAGTATAACATTACATCATCAGTATAACATACATACATCAGTAGGAGGGATCACAGGCACAAAATAAATTTAAGACCGCATAGAACAGACGAGAGGAAATTTTCTTTTACAAATCGAACGATAAAAGAATGGAATACATTGCCTGCAGAAACCTTTGAACTCTTTCCTCGTAGCGTACAACAGTTTAAGAAATTCATTTAGGGTATTTCTAAATAAATGAGGGAATTAGCTGATAATAGTAGGTTATAGAGCGATGCGTCAGTAATATATTGTAAAGTGGGGTGTCGTGCAGTGTAGAACAGAGAAATAATGTAGGAAGTGATTAAAGGGTCGTAGTGAAGTGACGTGAAGGTAAGTGCAATTAAATAAAAATTCAGAGCGTAGTTTGATATAGATGTTTCTTTTGTTAAGGTAATTTAAATGATTTAAAACGTTTTCAAACGTTCACTGTACAAAAATTCACTGTATAAAAATGAAAGACATAGATCCTTAATCAGTTCTTTTGATAGAAATATCAACACCAAAACAAAATCAAACAAAACAGAATTTTTTTGTTACGGTAATCTTAATTTTGCCAATTCAATTATTACATATCTTAGCACACCGCTACTGTAGATAATGTTTGTACCGAAAATATTAATATAATTATTAAATTTTGGAAAACGAAGACCAATATTAATAACTCCTACGGGAAAATGTATTCAATACTTTCAAATAAAAACAATTTAAATATTGTATTAGTTCATAGTTTCGCTCTTATAAAATCACAATATTCTTTGCCCCGCGTTGGGCATACCATTGTAATAGTTCATCTCTCTATAATAAAATCAACTATATTTTGCCCCTATTATTCATTATTCAAGCTAATAGAGTGGCTAGCTCTAATGTTTATCAAGATTTTGGGCTTTGCATGCTTACATTATCTCAAGGTATTCTCGTCATTCTTCTCGTGGGCTAGAAAACAGCGCTCATACGAGTATTCGGATGGTGATAATTTAATTTTGTTAGGAAATATTCTGTTATCTATTCCTTTAAATAATCGTAATACAAAATCGAGCACGTAGTAATTTGTTATACAATTATCAGCTACATGAAGTGTCGGCTGCAAAATTAATTTTTTTCAATAATCTATTTTTATTAATTTGACAATATATACTTTTATTTTCTCTATTATAA